GGCAGGGACATGCGGGGAAAAGATCACAGCCAGGCTCTGGTCCTGTGCTATCACTGCCCTGGGATCCTGGCCCTAGTCCCAGGCCCATCACCAGCCCTACCTGCCCATCCCACTCCTGGATACCACTCTCCACCTTAGTGACAGAGGGCAGCCAGGGCCAAGCCTCTTCACACCCAAACCTTGACAGGTGCCCCACCCCTGGAAGCCATCTTGCAAGTTATTCCTTGCTCACTGGGTGCATCTACACATGAGCTTTAATGTGGAGTAGACTAATTAGCTCCATAGTAAAGTGTCACCGTCTATACATGCACTGGTATTAGGGTGCAGTAAATTAATTAACTCTGCCATAAGATAGTGCTACCTAATTCCACACTTTAGCACCCTTGTGCCCCAGTCAGTGCCTCCACCACCCAACATTGCCACTGCCCTGGGATGCTCTGCCTTTGCTCAAAGTGCTATGGTCCTGGGCACACATGTAGATGCTGCACCCAGAAGCAGTTAATTCGAAGACAAACTGTGCCAGTTTATTGCCCCACCTTAATTGCACATCAAACATACAGCTAAATAGTTAATAGATTTCATACACATTAGGGCTGAAAGGGACCTCGCAAGATCATCGGGTCCAACCCTCTGACCAAGGGGCAGGAAGTCAGCTGGGATCAGATCACCCCAGCAAGATAAGCATCCAAGCGTACCTTAAAGATATTCCAGACTAGGTGCTTGCACCACTTCTGAGGTGAGTCTGTTCCAGACTCTGGAGACTCGGACAGTAAAGAAGTTTTTCCTTATGTTCAAGGTCTAACAGTCACAAACTGCTGGAAGATCATTTTAGACTGTCTTCCCTTGGTGTGCCCTGGTGAATAGACATTCTCCTAGTTCCTGATGTACACCCCTTATATACTTATAGGCTTATATACTTATATACTTGCTGCCACCAAGTCACCCCTGAGCCTTTGCTTCTCCAGGCTGAAGAGTCCCATGCCTCCCATCCTCTCCTAATAAGGCCTGTTCTTTTGACCTCTAATCATGCATGTGGCTCTCCTCTGGACTCTATCAAGCTTTTCCACATCCTTTCTAAAGTGTGGAGCCCAGAATTGGATGCAGTACTCCAGCTGCGGCCTCACCAAGGCCAAGTAAAGTGGGAGGATGACTTCTTGGCTCTTGTTTAAAATGCACTGGTAGATGCAAGCCAGAGTTTTATTTGCTTTACTGGCTGCGGCATGCATTGCTAGCTCATGTTCATCTTGTGGTCAGTCATGACCCCCAAGTCTCTTTCAATTGTGGTGCTAGTGAGTGTAGCACTGCTGAGCCTATAAGTATGATGCGGGGTTTTTCTATCAAGGTGGAGCACCATGCATTTCTCGGTGTTGAATGTCATCAGGTTTTGATCCACCCCCCTTGTGAGCTAGTCCAGGTTGGCCTGAATTGATAGCCTATTCTCTAGCCTGACCACATTTCCCCATAATTTGGTGTCATTTGGAAACTTAGCCAGTCCACTTCTGACACCTGAATCCAGATCATTTACAAATATATTAAAGAATACTGGTCCGAGTATTGAGTCCTGGGGGACGCACCTTGTCACCATGTGCCATGTTGACTTGGTTCCATTGACTATCACTTTCTGGGTCTGACCACAGAGCTAGTTCTTCAGCCATCAGACCATAAAGTTGTTGAGGCTGCAGTTCCTTAATTTTACCATGAGGACATCATGGGAGACCAAGTCACAGGCTTTTCTGAAATCTAAATACATGACATCAACCTCTTCTCCTTTGTCCAGGTGATGCATCACCTGGTCATAGAAGGAAATGAGGCTGGTCAGACATGACCTACCCACAATGAAGCCACGTTGGCTCTCTCACAGAATGTTGCCTTCCATTAGCCTGTTGTTGATGGTTTCTTTGTTGATTTTTTCCAAGATCGTTCCAGGGATTGAGGTCAAACTAATTGGCCTGTAGTTCCCTGGATCATCCTTCTTTCCTTTCTTGAAGATAGGCACCACATTGGCCCTCTTCTAATCTTCAGGAACCTCTCCTGAACACCACAAGTTCTCAGATATCCTCGCCATTTGTCATGCTATGATGTCAGCCAATTCTTTTAGCACTCTTGAGTGCATTCCATCTTGGTCACCTGACTTTTGGGTGTCCAGCCTCTCAAGTTGTTCCCTCACACAGTCTTCGCCAATTATAGGCACACGATTGCCCTTACCCTGGTAGTCCTGCATCCTGTCAGGCAGGGTGATCCCCTTGGGCTAGTGGAAAATCAACGCAAACTAATCATTGAAGAGATTATCTTTTTCCTAGGTGTCAGTTGTCAGCTGCCCCATTTGGTTCAGCAAGGGTCTGATGTTGCCCTTAGTTTTTTTTCTGACTTCCCACATATTTGAAGTAGGACTTTTTATTGCTTTTGATTCCCGTAGCCAGTTTGAGTTTGGTTTCAGCCTCAGCTTTTCTTGTCCACTCCCTACAGGTGCAGGCCAGTGCTGCATAATCCTCCTTAGTGGTAGTTCCTGACTTCCATCCCTTATAAGCTTCTCTTTTCAGATTCAGGAGTCCATGAGTTCCCTATTGAGCCAAGGGGGTCCCCCAGCCCTTTTGCTACCTTTCCTATGGGCTGGAATGGACTTCCCTTGTGCTTTTAAGATCACATCCTTAAGGAGCAACCATTCATCATGGACTCCCCTCCTTATCAGATCATGGTCTCTCAGGGCCTCAACAACTAAACTCATGAGCTTGTGAAAGTCAGGTTTCCTAAAGTGAAGGATTTCTGCATTGCTGACTGATTTGCAAGCTTTGCGATGGATAGAGAAAGTGATCAACTCGTGATCACTGTCACCAAGCTTCTCTTCGATCTTCAGGTTACTGGCTAGATCATCCCCCTTGGCCAGTACCAGATCCAGCACTGCCTTACCTCTTGCTGGCTTGTAGACTTCTTGAGTCAAATAGAGCTCACCAATGCAAGTGAGAAAGCTGTGTGACCAATCAGATTTGGCTGAATGCTCTTCCCATGAGATGCCAGGGTGGTTGAAGTCTCTCATGATGACCATGCACCAACAGCGTGCAGCCTCTGCCAGTTCCCAAATTCATGGTCATGCTCTTCCTCCTGGAAGAAGGTCTGTAATAGACTCCTACAGTTATATCCCCTTTACCACATTCTCCTTGTATTCTAACCTACAGGGTCTCAAGTTGCTCTCCTTGGGTGCCGATCTCTGCTTGTAGGTAAGTGTACTGCTGCTGCGCATAGAGAGCTACACCCCCACCCTTCCTTGCAACATGATCCCTCCTGTACAAGATACAGCCATCAATCCTATGGTCCAGTCAAAGGTGGAGTCGCACCAGGTCTCCATTATCCTTATAAGATCGTATTAATTTTTGCTTAGCAGAAGGGCCAGTTCCTCCTGTTTGTTCCCCATGCTCCTGGCATTTGTGTACAAGCAGCTAAGCCTGCCATCAGAAGCCCAGGGCTTCCCTGTCTTGTTAGAAGTCCTATCCTTGGGCTGGGGTAGGAGTGAGCTCCCTTGTGTTATCTGACCTGCTGATTCTGTGGTTGTCACTTCCAGGGCTTGCACTAGTGATTGTCCACCCATTCCCCAGTGATCTTAGTTTAAAGCCCTGTCTTTTGGGAAATAGTTTATGCATCTTTTGGGAAATAGGACTTGCAACTATATTGTTTTTCAATTAAAGATACCTGCTGGTTTTCTTTCATCCATTCCTCTTGCTCCCATTCCCTCATTTCTCCATGACATCTAAAAATTGTAATTAGATGCAGACAGAATCATGGCAGCATATCTAAATATTGATCCAGTTTTCTTAATATAGGCCAGACCATGTGGTCAGTAACAGTGATATTAGGAAGTATAATGCATGTATTTCCTCAAGTAAGGTCAATAATCCTCAAAATCAGTTTTGTCAGCTGCATTTTGTCTTGTTAGAAAGTTGTTCTGTTTTTACCCCTGGAGACGACAGTATATTGTATATATAATACCCACCTGTTTGGAATGTCTTAATTCCAGCGTTTGTGATTTCTGAGATACCAGGGCCTGGACTGCAAACAGAAGTACGTGTGTAAGAGTTTACAGAATCAGAACCAAAGTGAATAACCTCTACTGAAAATGTGTAAAATTGAAAAAGGGCAGGGTGGGGGACAGGAAGATGTGAAAGAGAGCGAGAGAGAAAATTACAGAGAAATAATGGAGAAACAGAATTTCAAAAGACATAGTCCTCTCAGCTCAGTGAGAAACCTGCATCAGTCACGGAGAAAACTTCATATAGAGAGACATGGGATGTTTATGATCTGCTGTAACATTTACAGATTTACAGGGTTAGCCCCTCCATTCTCTCTGTACCAATGAAATCAGTGTGTAATGTGAATGTAATTTATATAGCAGCAGAAGGAACTAGGGGGTGGTGTGCAGAGCTGTGATGCCTGTTAATTTGGACTACAAGTCCCAAGAAACCCCAGGGACTAGGGCAAGGGAAAAAGGAAGAGGAAGCTTGAAAGTAAGTAAGCAGAAGAGACAGCGGTGCATACCTGGAACCTGGTCAGCCCTACACAGAGGAGTGGGCAGTGGAGTTGGAGACCTCACTGGCTCGGTCACCCAGGACTGTGGACCAAAGGAGCTGGACTCAGACTTGCAGGCTGCTGTTTTAGTGCTGTAGGTACTAAAGACACCTGGGGACAACTCCAGAGATGTGTGGGGGAAATTAAGATGCTGAGAGTATGTTACAACAGTGTTGATGTTTCTTTACCTTTTACCTGTTCCCTCCCTTTGGCTCATTGGCTTGTGACCCTAACTCTATGATTTTCTATATAAAAGTGGGAGGAACTCCCCCTTGCTTCTTGTGCCAGTTTCTGAGGCTGCAGGGTTGGCACAACTGGTTTTGCATTTTGCATTATAAAAGTTATGATAACAAAAGTGTATATTCTGAAAGTACAGTTTCTGGATTAATTTAGCATAGACTGAGTTAAAAGACTCAGAAATCAGGCAAATTACCTAGAAATAATTCATATGAAAATATTTATTTTAATCTTCAAATTTTCATTATGTGCATTACATTCTTGTGTTACAGCAAAAAACAGCTGACATACAGTACCACAGTGACATATAAATCAAGCTGTAGAAATCTAATATACCAAAATTGTGTAAACAAAAACCTTTCCATCTCAGTACTTTCCATGGACCAAATTCTGACCTATCGAATCCCACTGAAGGGAATATCTACAAGGCAGAGCTAGACTCAGTATGAGGAAAACTACCAAGACTTGGTCTTTTACTTCTGGGGTAGCAAACACCAGTCCCTACTTTATACAGATAGGAAAAATGCAAGTTTTAAAAAAGTAAATTAAACCTGGGTTGTTTCTATATATCCATATAGATATTGTGTTACTACTGAAAGTTGCAAACTCAAAGTAAGCTCTATGGACCAAAATCTTAGTTCACAGATACTCAACTGGCAACCGCAGTTGAGTTTCCAAGGAGACGGAGTAAGATACTGGACTGTTTTTGCCTGTAAAATAAGATACCTGCAGCAGAAATTCAGCTGGAAGTAATAATGAATTCACAGAATAAAAGTACAAGCTGAAATTTTTCTTCCAGTTGCCATCAGTAAGCTAAGAAGTCTTGTTCCCTCTGCATGGGGGAAAATATGGCCTTCAGTCAAGTTCCTGAACAACCCCAAGCTATCTGAACTCATGAGTAGCCCAAACCAATTATAACTAAGCTAATACCTCTTCCGTTCATCTTGTCATGGTTTGAAAAGGCATCTCTTTGGGATCATTCAGTAAAATTAGAAAGGAGGACCACAGAAAACTAAAGAAAGGGGAGTGCTTGTTTTTTCTGTAATGGAAATAATATATCTTTGCTGAATATCCATCCCCAGTGCAAACTGTGCTAAGGCAATCTATATACTGTAAAATTTAACAAATAATTTTAGCATGGGAGATACATTCCATTTGAAAATGTATTTAACTATTAAATTTTAGTCTCCCAATTGAATAGAAACATTTTTTACAGCTGTTGTATGACACATCAATTACAGGTTTGCTCTACTGGATTTTCGATAACATTCAGCAAGATTTTTTTTCTGTTGGTAGAAATGTATGACTCTGATTTGCACCATCCTAACACATGTAACATCCTGAAGTCAAGAACACACGTCACAACTGCAGGAGTGGACCAAAACAACATGCCATACAGGTGGAAACAAATGACTGACTTTCCCATTAAGAAATAGTGGAAAATCAGAACTCCTTAAAGTACAAAAAAAAGTTTTGCTTTCAGTTTTAAACAAATGTTAAAAATATAAATGTGTTTGATATAATAAGCCACACACAGAATTCACTCAAACCCATTAATAATCCATATAATCCAATACCTTTTTCCTGCTTTGCACAATTAAAACCTTGGAATTTGTACTTACCCATGCTTTTATATTTCTCAAATGAGTTGATTCAGAACAGGAACACACTTCATAACCTGTGTAGGTCTACTGTACACACTAACTCAGATACCATATATGTATTGCTGTTTCCGTAGTTACAGGTAAAAGTTAGTATCAAATATGGACTATCATTTGATTGCATTCAAATTTAAAGATCCCAGTCCACAACTTCATTTTCCATTAATCAGTAAGACTATAAATTTTATCATTATTTCTTTGGAGGAAGAACATTTTGTTCATAGTAACCAGGGTTTACTACGTTTCCAGGTGGGTCGTACCTGGCCACCACAAACGTGGAGCCATCGCTTGCTGTGGCTTTTCCAACTCCCATCTTCTTTGTGTTCTTCCAAATCATAGCTGTAAAGTGACCTGGGAGAAAAGGAGATTAATACATTAACTTGGGGCAATGGATCAGCAAAATTCTTTCCAGTGATTGATCAAAAAATGTCATAAACTAATGGCTAATAACATCTTAGTGCTGAATCTGACTTCCAGCTTTGGCTAACCAATCCCTCCAAGCCCCACAGCAGTCCCATTAACTTCAGCTGGGGTTACTTGACAGGAGAGATAAATCAAGGCAGGTATCCGTAAAGCATATTCAGAAAAAAAATCTGTGAGAGGTTCTTCAATGCTTAATATATTTTTTTTTAAGGTTAAAAGTATATTTGCCTTCAAAATTACTACATTTTAAAACTGCGAAGGTTAAAGAGAGACCAAGACTTTTTCTTAAAAATCATTTTTAACACAGAAATGTTGTTTACTTCCTCATTCCTCCAGGAGTCATAGTTTCCTTCCTCTTTTCTGTTATCATCAGGTTACTGTGAGCAACTGTAAGATTTGCTGTTTCTACTATCTGATTTTCACTACTTTTTGAAAAAGAACAATGAGAAAAGTAAATGAACCACCTTTAAAGTAATTTCTGCATCTCTGAAAGAGAAAAGCCTAGACTTAACTCACCTGTTCCTGAAGAAAACCCTGGATTTTGAAAGTTGTAATTTTTTATTTCACTGTACCATCTGTCAGCTACTTCCTTTCCTGGAAGAAAAAAGAAGTGATTCTTTAAAATTGCAACAAACAGGATGAACTCAGCAAAATGTAACTGATCTAGCTTCTTGCCTACATCATTCTCCTAAGACTCCTGGCAGGTGTTCAGTTAAAGATGCCATGGGATCTGGTGCATAACCCCAAAAATCACACTTCCTGCCCTGGCTACATGTGAATGGCAGGTGGCAAGATTGTGGGATTGGAGATCAGATCCCCATCGTACCATATTGTCATGATCCCAGGCTCCCCCTACACCAGCAAGTAGAACACCAGTCAGCCAATTCCTGGTTGTAGCCTTGGAAACATACTGGAGTCAAGGGCTCCAATGCCCGCCCCACCTACTGCTCCCAGTCTCTGGGGTGCACTGGAACCCTTGACTCTGTGTCCCCAAGGTTGGGAGCCCCAATAAGCTGCTCCTCCCAGTCTATGGGGTACATCACAGCCAAGGGCTCCAGTCACCCCAGGGGCTGGGAGCCTGACCAGCTGTCACTCCCAGCGGCCAGGGCACAGCAGAGCTCTTAATTCCACTGTGTACCAGAGGCTAGGAGCATAGGTTGGCTGATCTGTGCTCCCAGCATGCCGGGTGCAACAGAATCAAGGGCTCTGATGGCCTCCATGGCTGGGAGCTGCAGGTAGTCAGGACTCCCAGCCTCAAGGGGCACACTGGAGCCCTGACTCCAATGCAGTCCCAAGGCTGGGAGCACTAGTCAACTGATCTGCACTCCCAGCCTCGGGAATGAACAGGAGTCAAGGGTTCCCATGTGCTCCTGTGGCTGGGAGCCCCAATCAGCAGGTGCCTGACCACATGTGTGATTTAAGGCATGATGGGAACCAGCCACAGAGTTATTACAGATTTTGTGTGTAATAACTGTGTGGCTTATTCCTTGTTTTATTGTGCTATTAATTGCATTAACATGTGCCTGTGATTAACTGGTTAACGACATCTTAAGTGTAACATCTGCCAGGGGCCTAATAGTTAGTAGAAACTGCTGGAAACTAAATGAAGTTGTATAAATATGAACTAGGCAACAATTTTAAGTTCCTTTGTTAATCAGGGTGAGCTCTTAGCTACAGATGGCCTTCCCATTATTGCTAACATACTCTCCAACTCAGCATTATTAAAAAAGAAACTACAGCAGGAAAAAGATGTGACAGAGACATAAATCCTTGGTCTCTTCTGAGACCTTGGACACACACTACTTTTGTAATGTTATATAGGCCCTTGTGGTGCTACAAAGAGCTTGTGGCCACACATTCTGACTGTTTGTAGTACTTCAGAAATGGACGACTCACTACGAAAAAAATCTCTATTTCAAAAAGAACTCCTTTGTGGCGCTACATGGAGAAGGTTTCTTAGACCCCCCTTCATCCTAGAGTGCTCTATTTTCCCTTCCACCACTCCAAGGAGAAGGGAGGAAGAGTGTCTAAAGATGTTTGTACACCTGAGTATTTGAGTCTGCTCCAAAGTGGCGGGTCTCCAGCGCATTGTGGGATGAAAAGGTAGGTGTATAAATGCCTTAAGTTCCTAACTGCAACAGGAGGCAGACATGCAGCCCTGTTAGCTGTAGTAGCTGTGCTGCTTTTCCGCTCCCCTTCTCTACTATGTTGGCAGAAGGGAGCAAAAAAGCAGCCCTCTACTGGCCCCTACCTGGAGAGTGTGCCTTTGACGTTGTTTTGGCATGCTCCAGCTAACAGGCTGTTCAGACACTTGAACATATGGACATATTTCTAACACTACAAAATTCCCCAGACTTTGTAGCACTCTAAATGTAAGGTGTAACCAAGGCCTAAGGAACATCAGCAGGCAAAAAGGTGCTGATCTTTCAGAGGGCGTGTTCAGACATGTGCTTTAATGTGCAGTAGCTTATTCTCCTGTGCATTAAAGCGGCATGTAAAAAACCGTGCTATGCTCATGCATGGTAGAATAGGCTACTGCGCATTAAGCATCACCTAAAAAGCATGTGCTTGTGCTACTGTGCATTTAGTGCTGCCCAATCCGCATTTGTTTAGTACCTCAGATTGGAAGTACTAAATGTAATGATCATTAGGAAAAGTGCATTAATGCATGTGTACACATGCCAGAGAGAATTAAAATAAAAAAAACACAGCCACAGTATTGGAAAATCAGTTTGGACCCAAGGCTTTAGGTGCAGCAAATGTTCCAGACACATTAATTTTTGCCTTGAAATCTGCTTCTGTTCCCCATTATGTGCCATCAATCTATGAATATATAATGCCACACAACAAGCCTGATGCACTATATTTAAGACTCAAGTGGAATGAAGATGTGGGGTTCAGTTAACAGACCCCCAAAGCAAATCAGCAATTTAGAAGAATATTCAAACATCTACAGCTGATCTCAGCCTGCATCTTATAAAGCAAAAGATCATTTTTCGTCTTCACTCAGCTCCCTCTCAACTTAAAAAAAAATTAAATACATTGCCAGTAGATACATGTTGGAGATGCACTGCATCACAGGCACTGTGTGCTATTATCAATTCCTTTTGGCAAGAAACTGTAACCAGAGTTAATACGGTTTTGAATACAGCACTGCTGCCTTTGGCAAGTATGTGCACTCTTGGGTATATACCTAAAGAGTTCAAACTGAAACCTTCCCAGATTGTGCTCTTACAGCAGGCCTTATTAGTGACATGCAGGATTATAATATTGCTTGTGAAAGATATAGGGCCTCTCCCAAAGTCAAAACCTGTCATAGTGAGACAACACACCTGGCATTTATAGAAAGAGTCCTGTTCAGCAGGTATAACTACTTTGACAAGTTTGGTATGATTTGGAAAGACTTCTTAGAATGCTCTGGTAATTAAATCGTTACTCCTTGCACATTTCTCTTTTCATCTGCTATTACTCCTGCCTTCTTCCCTCCCTCTTTTCATTCCTTTTATTTAATTTTTTTCTTTCTTTTCCCCTTTATTGATTACTGATTATGACACATATGTATGTATTTCAGGTTGATATGTTATATTGATATATATATGTATTTCTAATTTTTGTTGCAATTAAAAATCAATACACTTTTTTTTTTAAAACCACATTGAACCCCCAAAAATTTTAAGAATGAACAAAGGTTTCAGGAGTGATTAATTCCCCCTGATAGTTTCATAGTTTCATAGTTTCTAGGGTCGGAAGGGACCTGAGCAGATCATCTAGTCCGACCCCCTGCCATGGCAGGAAGAGCACTGGGGTCAAATGACCCCAATAAGGTGGTCATCCAACCTCCTCTTAAAAACCCCCAGGGTGGGAGCCTGCACCACCTCACATGGAAGCTGGTTCCAGACCCTAGCCGCCCTGACCGTGAAGTAGCGCCTCCTGATGTCCAACTTAAACCTTCCCTCCGCCAGCTTGTGACCATTGTTCCTGGTCACTCCTTGCGGTGCTCGGGGGAACAGGGACTCCCCCAGCGCCTGCTGATCCCCCCTAACCAGTTTATAACAGGCCACAAGATCCCCCCTCAGCCTTCTCTTTTGAAGGCTGAACAGGTTCAGGTCCCGCAACCTTTCCTCATAGGACCTACCCTGCTGTCCCTTGATCATGCGAGTGGCCCTCCTCTGGACCCTCTCGATGCTGTCCACATCCCTCTTAAAGTGCGGCGCCCAGAACTGGACGCAGTACTCCAGCTGCGGCCTGACCAGTGCCGCATAGAGGGGGAGGATCACCTCCTTGGACCTGCTCGAGATGCATCTGTGGATGCACGACAAGGTGCAGTTGGCCTTCCTAGCCGCCTCCCCACATTGCCGACTCATGTTCATCTTGGAGTCAATAATGACTCCCAGATCCTTTTCCACCTCCGTGCTGACAAGAGGGGAGTTCCCCAGCCTGTATGTATGGTGCCGATTGTTCCTCCCCAGGTGCATCACCTTACACTTGTCTGTGTTAAACCCCATCCTGTTCTCCTCCGCCCATCCTTGTAACCTGTCTAGGTCCAACTGTAGCCTGTTGCTCCCCTCTAATGTGCCCACATCCCCCCACATCTTAGTGTCATCAGCAAACTTGAACAGGGTGCTTTGCACCCCCTCATCCAAATCACTGATGAAGATATTGAACAGGGCGGGCCCAAGGACCGAGCCCTGTGGGACCCCACTTCCCACGTCCATCCAGGTCGAGAAGGACCCATCCACTACCACTCTCTGGGTGCGACTCTCTAACCAGTTGGCGACCCATTGGACTGTATGGGTGTTGACGCCACAGTCCCCCAGCTTCCTAATGAGAATGGGGTGAGAAACAGTATCAAAAGCCTTCCTGAAGTCCAGGAAAACTATATCCACTGCCACCCCTGCATCCAATGATTTAGTGACCTGGTCGTAAAAGGCCACCAGGTTGGTCTGACAGGACCTGCCACTGATGAACCCGTGCTGGTTGCCCCTGAGCAGCTGACATATGACAATTTTATCCACAGTCTGTATTTTCCCCAACATACTCCCTGCCATTGCAGTATCAAAGCACCCTTGTCTCTCTGGCTCTTACGGCACACCATGGGGATTTTTACTGGTGGATGCTGCATGACTTTAGTGGAGGGTCCAGCATGGATGTACTTGTGAAGCCTTCTGGATAGATGTTTTATGTGATCAAAGGGGATCTGGACTTGAGAAGCAATACACCCCTTCCAGTCCAAGTTTCCCTTTACTTACGCACAATTGGGAAAGTTAAGGGTGAAGTGATGGTCTTGTACAAAGGGGTTTCTGCCCAGGATTTATGGACAGATGCCACTGCAAAGTTTCTCCTTCCTGATTCTCCACAGGTATTGATGGTTTCCAGCCCCGTTTTGGCTCCTTCTGGTCCATAGAGCTGAAGTATGTACAATTATTATAAGCCTGGATAAATTTATCTTTGAAGTAAACATTTCAAAGATACTCTTCCCCTGTCTCACCTATGATAAAGCCATTCTGATAGATTAATAAAATACTGCCAAACATTTGAAAAAAATAAAAGAGCAATACATAAAAAATAAGGGTATTACCTGGTGATAATATAAA